AAAAAAAAAAAAAAAAAGATAAACTTAGAAAAGTAACCCCACCAACTGGTATTTGGCTTCTTCCAAAGTAAACCTTATAACTACAAATCTATTAAACCATTACTAAGTTGGCCTTAATATAAATTGGATTATTACTATAGACTATCTGCTAGACTCTGGCATCCTCCATTTTCTACACAACAAAGTGATCCTTTAATAATATAAATCATATAGGTCATGCTTCTGCTCAACACTACCCAATGGATCCTCATGTCAGAGCCCACTCATTTTCCACCAATACATATTTACCATTCCTCTTTGAGAATGTAACCCCTGATATATTCACAAAAGTCTAGAATGAAAACTAAATTTTCTACTTTCTTTCCGAGCAAGGTGTGGCCATAAGACTAAATGCTTTTCAACGGAATGTAGGAATAAATGTCTTAAACACCTTCTGGAATGAACTTCATAAGTAGAAGCATTTTCTTTGCAACTTTGTACTTTCTGATGACTGAAATGCAGAGTTGATGGCGGGAGCTCATCATCCATCTCAATCTCCAAGGATAAAGTCACATTCTGAGACTGATTGAACAGCAGAATAGAAGGAGTTATGTCCCTGACAATGTTTGGAAGCTAAAAAGGATGCCTACCTCTTACTGTCTATATGTGAATGAGAAGGAATGTTCTTTAAGCTGTTCTAAATATACATTTTTCATCATTTGCATCTGTAGCTAATTCTAACCTTTCACATATTGAGAATAAATTTAAAATCCTTTCCACGGCCTACATGTTCCTTGGCTAATTTTCTCCCTTATTTCCTACCCTTTATCTTGATTCTGCTGTACTGACTTCTTGCTGCTCCTGGACACATGAAGGACATTATTATCTTAGGGTCTATGTACTTTGTGTCTCTCAGCCTGTTATGCTCTCCCAAGAAATATACATAATTTCAATCTGGTTCCTGCTTGATCCTTCTTCAGAAAAGTCTTCTAGCCACTATATCTTAAATAAAAGCACAAGTTAGTGTTTCTTTGTGTAGTTTACTTTTCCTTTATAGCATTTATAAATCTCAGTTAATGTATTATATATTTATTTGCCTTTTTATTTATCTGTCTTCTCCACTAGAAGATGAGTTCATGAGGTAGGCACTTCATTTTGTTGGCTACTCTGTCTCCCAGACCGAGAATCATTCCAGACATGGTTGCATGATATATATTTCTTGAATGTGTGAATATATGAATAAATGCTTGTGTGTGTATTTATCCATCTACTATTCTTACACTATCATGAATTATAGGTCCTATCTTTTACACCCAGAATAGTTAGACTAGTAAACTGATATGACTGGCCATGTCTTCAAGGGTGAGTTAGTTAAAGGTCTCCTGAAAAGCCTTCAGAGTCCCACTTGATGAATTAATATGTTGTTGGTTTCATTTTTACACACAGGTAGCAAGAACCTCGGTGAGATTAGACCCTAAATTTAAGATTTCTTTTTTTTTAATCTGATGGGAAAAAACCCAAAAGGAAACACAGTGAATCTGGCATACCCCATCCTGAAGGAGTTTTGATTCAACAAGGTATTATCTAGCATTATACAATTCAGAAATCAGAAAACATACTGTTCTCACAGTACTGTGGGATTGTTGGACTGTGACTGTTCTTTGGACAGGAGGGGAATTTTCCATCAGGGGGTATTCTCACAGTCAGTCACACTGGAAAGATGTCAGTCATGGGGAAGACAGTGAACCTCCAGAGGGGCATCAGAAGCCGAGAAGAGCAAAACGCTTTTATCTTCTCTAAGCATTTGGACATACGGCCGTTTGGAGAACGTAAAGGTTCCTGTGGCCAGGAGTCTCACCTGGCCCTGGTCGGCTTGCTCACTACACCTGTGTGGACAATACATTGTTATTGACTCTGTATAAAGAGCTCTGCCCAGTGCTCTGAGCTGCTGCATGGCTGCAGGTCTGCAGGAGAGCAGAGGCTGGAGAGGTGGCAGCAATGAGGACAGAGACTGAGACGGCTGCGAGGGTGGGGAGGACCAGAGGCAAAGCAGCTCGCTCTGAGTGGATGGGATTCCAGTGATTGACCTGCCACTGTGAGAATAAAGTTGGGTATAAACCCTTTCACCCCAGAAACGTTCTGTTGTCATTTTTCGGTCTCACTGAATCCATAGTGAGCTTGTTCAGGGTTGAAACCCATTGGCAAGGCAGGCTGGTATCTGCAAGAGGGACGCACTGGGCATTCTGCCCTCTGTGGAGGCAGCCTGGATTCAAATAGGAAGTACAAAGTTGCCACCATGTAATAATTGTAAGTTATTTTCTATACTGTTATTTCCTTTCAGTATGGCCAGGCCTTTAATAACATCTCATAAATATTACCTGTCATGAGGAATTAAGGGAAAGGAATGATTCCACATCTTAGGATGAAGAGAAAGCAGAGGCCTCTTCCAAAATTCAGGGTGCTGGTCTCACCTGGGCAGGGCTGTGCCCAAAATAGTGGCAATTAACCTAGACAGTCCAGCTGACACAGCAGCATCAGAGCAAAGGAAGGAGGTTGGAAGGGCAAACCGGAGGAACCTGTCGTGTAAGAGCCAGCACTCTGAAAAACTGTCAGGAGCTATTACAAATGGAGAATTTGGAAAGGTGTTCATTTCTGCACTAACGCCGGTAGGGAGGTCATACCATTTTAACCAAGGCTACCTAGGTAAGATCTCTTTTATATGCTCTATTTATATTCCAGAAATGATTCAGCAAAGAAGAAAACATATTTTACATTGTATTGAAAATTGTTGCTTATTTTTTTACCCAGCAACAGCCTGTAAATTCTTTAGGAGCTACTTCTTTCATCCATGTATTCCCAGTGGGTAGCACAGTGCTAAGCCAAGCTCTCAATAACTGCTTGTGGACAGCATAAACCAGTCTTTCTAATAGCATTTGCAGCCATTCCCGTGATTTCAATGAAATAACATAACAGAAAGTACCTGTCATAACAATGTTAATTAAATCTTTAAATCTTAAATGGTGCAAGGGCCTTTTATAAGTAAACACTAAAAAAATGAGCAAAAGTTCAGTGTCTTCTTACTGCAAAAATGCTTGGGTATGATCACAGAAGAGGAGAGGAAATGAAGTGAAAAGAATGCTCAGTACTATTTAAATTGAAGAACTTTGTTCCCACATTTTTGCAATTCCTATTTTGTCTTTCAGGACACACAAAACCAGGATTTGGGATGGAGTAAAGTTTGGGAAGAGACATGGGAATAAAAGGGTCCTTTCCTCTCAGTGCAAACATGTGACATAATTTCAAGAAACAAGCTGCATTCAAATTAATCCCCCTAAATACTTTAATTTCCTTTCCCAAAGGTAAATTCTTGGGATTTCTGAAGCTAAAAGGAAAGTGTTGGATAATCTCAACTTTCTCCCTCACTAGATACTAGTTAGCAACAATTTTGCTAGATGTAATTTAGTAAGCTCCACCGCATTTACCACATTACACATGTGGTGTAAAAGGAAAATGGATAGAAACTGAGTGTGTAATTTCTTATTTATGATCTCAGTGGTTCAAAGCTCATGAAAGTAAAACATCTTGTGCCAGCTCCCAGGATTTTGCAAAAATTCAACTGTGTCATAGCTGATTCTTTTGGCAATGGTCTTTCTCAAGTCAGCCCAGTGAAAGGCCTTTCCGCTCCTGTCTTTTAGCAGCTGTCATTTACACCAAGAAGCTTCTAGTTTAAGTTCAGTACTATGGGTACTAATCACTTTTCTGAAACATATTATAGCAATTGGAGCCCATTTAGTCTGTGTGCACAATGGTAGGGACACAGATACAAAAGAATTAGTATTTTGGCAAATTCCTATGATTAAAACAGAAAAGTAAAAATGACAAATTTCACATGGGTTAGAGTCAAGATTAAGAGACCAAAATGAGATGTTGTCTATTGTCATTTCACAAGGGACATCACCGTTACTTTCTACAACTGACTTTAAGGACAGGTTTTTGTATCATGAACTCAAACTGTGCTTTTACCATGAATTATTATGCTCGAAATACCATAGAAAAGAGTCAGGCAGTACTTACTAGTGGTGAGACCAGAAATCTAATTTTCACAGCTGAGAACTAACTTTCTTAATTGTGGTTTCCCCCATATAAATAGATTTGTATCATTTCTGTCATCTCTTCATGTACTTTCATAACATTAAAAAAGAAAACAAAACTTTGGGTTCTCTTTAGATGAAATATACTTGTTAGAGTGCTTTAAACTATCTTATTTTGTGTTTAACAAAAGGTTTTTCTTTGCTCCAACTCAGGAAACTTCAGGGCATCACTGAGAGCAAAATTAGAATACAGTTTGATCATCATTTTCAGAATTTCAGGAGACGATTTCAAAGCATGGAATATTTTTTAAAGCATTGAGTTTTAAGGCGTCCTGAGCTATCTAACCTAGAAGAGCAAACAGGCTGCCTCGTGGTGTCATCGGAGAGGCAGATGTCCATCTCGCTTGTAAACACATGCTGCCAGATGCTCTCTAGCCACAAACTGTCTCCTGCCGCTGCAAATCCCTGTGATCCCTGATCGGTCACCCCCACCTTCCTGTTCCACGTGGCAGCTACGTAATGGCTCCACAACACCTATCTGAAGAAATAAATATAAGAGTAAATATAGTTATGAAAGGGAAGTGACATGAATATAAGTATTTACTCTGGTATTTTGCATGTGTGCAATATATTTTTGTAAAGAGCAAGGTTTTGATTTAATCTTGATTATGAATTTATTTCCAAAATAAAATTTTCTTTTTTCAGCACAAAACTAAGAGACTCTCTTACAGATGGTTAGGTATAATGAGAGATTAAACATAACTTTCATCTCTTATATAGATACAGTAGCACAAGGGTAAAGATTAGATTATTTTTATGCTTATGCTCAAATGATCTTTCTCATGTTTGTCCATAAATATGGTCAGCCATTCAAGGACAGTGAAATACTTATAAACATGTATTGTCATTTAAATAAAAATAAGAAATAGATTATTTTTCTGGCAAGGTCTATCTGATAAAACACTATAATCTAAGCTCATGGGTTTGTAACTATTAATATTTTTTGCTTTTTTTGTGTGTGCCCCTTTATCATTCTCAGCCTCCTCTCCCACACCCCCAACCATTCCCCCATGATAACCACTAGTGACTTCTCGGTGTCTTTGAGTCTAATGCTGTTTTGTTCATTCTGTTTTGCTTTGTATTTATATTCCACAAATAAGTGAAATCATATGGTATTTGTCCTTCTCCACCTAGCTTATTTCACTGAGTGTAATACCCTCTAGCTCCATCCATGTTGTTGCAAATGGCAGGGTTTCTTTTTATATGGCTGAGTAATATTCCATTATGTATATGTACCACATCTTCTTTAGCCATTCATCTACTGATGGACACTTAAGTTGTTGCTTCTGTATCTTTGCTATTGTAAATACTGCAGTTATAAACAAAGGGGTGCATATAACTTTTGAATCAAGAATTTTGTTTTCTTCAGGTAAATTCCTAGAATTGGGTCGAATCGTATTTTTACTTTCAGTTATTTTGAGGAAACTTTTACTGCTTTCCACAGTGGTTGTACCAGTTGACATTCTCATAAACAGTGTAGGAGAGTTCCCATTTCTCCACATCCTCATCAACACTTGTTATTTCTTGTCTTTTAGATGTAGCCATTCTAATTGGTATGATGTGATAGCTCATTGTGGTTTTGATTTGCATTTCCCTACTGATTAGTGATGTGGAGCATCTTTTCATGTACCTGTTGGCCATCCGTATTTCTTCTTTGTAGAAATGTCAGTTCAGGTACTCTGTCCATTTTTTAATAGGGTTATTTGTTTTTTGGTTGTTAAGGCTTCTTTGCTTTTTTATCAATGGTTTTAGCTGAGCTTTTAGGTTGAATTTCTAACCTGAACATGTAATAAAAGTAAAAATACTCTACCATGCTCTTTCCTAATTCCAACTATTTAATGTACAGACTACTCAATTAATTGAATCAACCTTTTTTTAAACATTTTACTTTGAAAAAATTATAGGTTCATAGGAAATTGCAGAGTACAGAGAGTTCAAATCTGCTCTTAATCCCATTTTCCCCAAAGATAACATCATAATTAGACTGCAATATCAAAAGAAGGAAATTGACATTAGTATAATGTGTATTTATAGGTCTATGCATTTTATCACTTTTGTGGGTTCAAACTAAATATCATCACAAATAACTCCCTAATGCTCTTTATAGTCACATCTGCCCCTTCTTCCAGCATGCCTAACCCCTAACAAACACTAATCTGTTCTCTATCTCTATAATCTTGTCATTTTGAGAATGTCAGATAAATGGAATCTTACCTTTTGAGATGAGCTTTTTTTCACTCAGCATAATGTCACTGAAATCATCCAAGTTGTTACAAGTATAATTGTTTGTTCCTTTTTATTGCTGAGTAGTATGCCATGGTATGGATATAGTACAATTTGTTTAAATAGTCATCCATTGTTAAGACATTTTGGTTGCTTCCAGTTTGGGGCTATTATAATTAAAGCTGCTATGTACAATCATGTAGATTTTTGTGTGGATATAAGTTCTCATTTCTCTGAGATAAATGCCTAGGAATGTGATTGCCAAGTCATATGGAAAGTATATGTTTATTATTTTAAGAAACTGCTACATTACTTTTCAGAATGTCCCCCCAAACAATGTATGAAAGGTTTCATTTCTGTGCATCTTTGCCAGCATTTGATATTGTGAATAATCTTTAACTATTCTCATATGTATGTAGTGATAGCTCATTATGATCTTAATTCACATTTTTTTAAATGACTAGTGATGTTGATCATCTTTGTATATGCTTATTTTCCATCTATATATCCTTTTTGGTGACCTGGCTCTCTGTATATTTTGCTCATTTTCCAGTTGGAATGTTTTTGTTGTTACGCTTGAGTTTTGAGAGTTCTTTATGTATTCTAAATATTACTCCTTTGTCAGATAGGTGGTTTACAATTATTTTCTCCTACTCTGTAGTTTGTCTTTTCATTCTCTTCAGAGGGTCTTTTACAGAGTAAAACTTAGATTTTGATAAAGTATAATTTATCAATTTTTTCTTATACTTATTATTATTCCTGTCATGGCTATGCACTCTTTACCAAGAGCCTAGGTCCCAAAGAGTTTCTCCTATTTTTCTGCTAAAGGATTTACAGGTTTTTTATTCTATCATTTTTTTATTGTGGTAGAAAATGTACATTAAATTTACCATCTTAACCATTTCTAAGTGTACCATTCAGTAGTATTAAGTATAATCACATTGTTGTAAAACAGATCGCCAGAACTTTTATCTTACAGGATTGAAAGTCTACACCTATTAAACAACAACTTCTTCCTCCTCCACAGCCCCTGGTGATCACCATTCTCCTTTCTATTTTTATGAATTTCACTACTTTAGATGCCTCATACAAGTGGAATCATACAGTGATTGTCTTTTTGTGACTGGCTTGTTTTACTTAGCTTAATGTCCTCAAGGTTCATCCATGTTGCAGCACATGACAGGACTTATTTCTGTTTTTAAAGCTGAAGACTATTCCATTGTGTGACTGGACTACATTTTGTTTATCCATTCATCCATTAGACATTTGATTTGCTTCTACCTTTTGGCTCTTGTGAATAGTGCGGCAATGAACAAGGGTATGAATGACTGACAGCTATAAACTTTATAATTTAAGCTATGACCCATTTTTTGAGATAATTTTCCCAAATTTTGTGAGATTTAAGATAAGGATCATCTCTTTAGATATATAATATGTCCAGCAACATTTGCTGAGAAGATTCTTTGGCAATACTTGTTGGGGCTATTTCTGAATTCTTCACTCTCTTCCATTGTTCTGTATATCTGTTCTTCTGCTGGTACCACACAGAGTTGATTAAGGTATCGTGTAATAAATCCTGAAATCACATGAAGTGGTTTTTACAATTGTAATCTGATTTTTCAGAAAATTTTCAGCTATTCTATTGTTTTTTGCTTTTGTCTTTAGAAAATATCTTGCTGGGAGTTATATAATTGCATTAAATTTATACACCACTTTGAGGAGAATTGACATCTCTACTTTGTCGAGCCTTCCAACTCAGGAACACCAATGTCTACTACTTAGATCTTTGGTTTATTTCATCAGTATTTTACAGATTTCAGCACAGGAGCCCTATGCATGTCTTATTATATTCACACCTAAGTGTTTCATTTTTTTAAGAGATTACACATGGTATTGTATTCTTAATTTTACTTTCCATGTGGTCATTGCTTTTGTATAGAAATGCAACTACCTTTTGTATGTTTTCTTTGTATTTGTATGAATTCCATTACCAAACTCATTTATCAGTTTAGAAGTGTTTTGGTATATTTGGTATATTCCTTAGGATTTTTTTATGTAGGCCATCATGTCAACCACCAACACATACAGATTATATCTTCCTTTCCAATCAGTATGTCTTTATTTCCTTTTTCTTGCCTTGTTGAACTTCCTAGATATGAGCTTCCAACATATTCCTGTAATATGTTGAATAGCAGTGGGGATAGGAAACACCATTGTATCATTCCCAATCTTGAGAAGAAAGCAGTCCATTTTCTCCATTAAGGATGATGTTAGTTACGGGATTTTTGTAGGTGTTCTTCATCAGGTTGAGGACATTATCCCGTTACTAGTTTTCTTAAGTTTTTATCAGGTTTGGGTGTCAAATATTGTCAAATATTTATATTGCATCAACTGATATGATATTGTGATTTATCTCCTTTACACTGGTAACATGGTGGACTACAATGATTAATTTTCAAATCTTGAACCAGTTTTACATCCCTAAAATAAACTTCACTTGGTCATGGTGTATAATTCTTTTTATGTATTTCTGAATTCCACTTGCCAATATTTTGTTAATGATTTTTAATTTTTACTATATATTCATGAGGGATATTGGTTGTTTTCTTTTTTTTTGTACTGACTTTGGTTTTGGTATCACGGTAATACTGATTTCATAACCATGATTTGGACAATGTTCCTTCCTCTTTTACTTTCTGGAAGAAATTGTGCAGAAGTGGTGGTGTTTCCTCTTCAAATGCTGGATAGTATTCTTCAGTGAAATGATCTGGGCCTGAGAATTTCTTTTTGAGAGTTTTTAAATTACGCATTTAAATTACTTAATAGTTTTAGAGCTAATCAATTATCTTTTGCATATTTTGTGATTCATGGTTCCTTTTATGTTAGTTGTATGGTTTGTTTTATCTAAATTGTCAAATTTATGTGTGTAGAGTTGTACTATTTCTTTATTATCCTTTTAATGTGACAGGGTCTGTAACAATACAGCCTTGTGTCATGCCTGATATTAGTAATTTCTGTCTTCTCTTTTTGCTTTGTCAGTCTTGCTAGAGGTTTGTCAATTTTGTTGACCCTTTCAAAGAATAAGATCTTTGTTTCATTGATTTTCTGGTTTTGTTTGTTTCAATTTCATTGATTTCTGCTCTTATATTATTATTTTCTTTCAGCTTATTTTGTCCTTTTTCTATTTTTCTTGGGGTGGGACTTTTCTGACATGAGAATTTAATGCTATAAATGTCCTTTTTAGTTTTACTGTAGCTGTGACCCAAAATGTTAGTATGTTGTATTTTCACTTTCTTTCTGTTTGGTGTATTTTTAAATTTCCCTTGAGATCTCCTCTTTGACTCCTGGGTAATTTACAAGTGTATTGTTTAGCTTCAAAGTTTGAAGATTTTCATATTAGCTTTCAGTTACTAATCTGGGTCAAGAAACACAGTCTGATTTCAATTCTTTTAAATTTGTTGATGTTTGTGTTATGACCCAAGATATGGTCTATCTTGGTATATGTTCCATGTACACATGTATTCTGCTGTTTTGAGTTAGTGTTCTGTACGTGTAAATTAGATGTTGTTTATTGGTGTTGAGTTATATGCTTGCTGTTTTTCTGTCTAGTTTTTCTATCAGTTGTTGAGAAAAGGATGTTGAAGTCTCCACCTATAATTGTGGTTTTGTCTATTTCTTCTTTCAGTTCTATTAGTTTTGCTTCACATATTTTGCAACTGTGTTGTTTCATCTCTGTTTTCTT